CTGATGCCCATACTGGTTTGACGGGTATGCTCCCCTCGATTGAATGGAGATATTTCTGTCTACACCATCAACTTGATCCTTCGTTTTGAAACTGGGAGAAGCTTGCAAATCGAGGTTCTTCTGTTGGGGACCCTTTCCTTTCTGTCGAGTATGCACCATGGTCACTGTCTTTGAAAAAACTAATTGTTTCCCACAGACGGCGCCAGATTATGCGTGCAAATTTCTGCACAATATGTATCAGAACAGATCTCTCTCGTGGTGAACATGATTCCATCGAGGCAGCGGTCGATCTCACCACCTGGAATGGGTTGGAGAGGGCCAAAGGGGGCCTAAGTAGTGGCGATGAATTGTTTGTTAGGTCGCTCGACCGGTCCTGGAAGACTACGGGGGTTTCCCGGAATACAGAAAAACGGGTTAGAAGGGCGCTAGAGTGTTTTTCGGCGTATCTCCTCCAGCGATCAAGTCAGTAGTTGTGAGAGTGGGGAAAAAGAAAACACTGTATGGCTCTTGAGAGATGTTCTTGCGTACCTTTGCAATATATTTTTGAGGACTATTTATACTTTCAAAAGTTCATCATTGCTGATAATATAGCTAATAGACAATCATTAGAGATGGAGCAGTGTGCCCCCTTTCCTTTAGTAGGGAATGCATTCAGCCTTAACTGCTCGGGACACCAAGCAATTAATGTTTTCCCCTCAGCCTACCGAGTATTCAATGCCCTTTCCTCGGTGAGGGAGTATTAAATGTCCAAGCAGGGGAGCATTTAATGTCTTTCACTTCTCAGCTCCCATGCCTTAAAATGCTGTCTCATCAGGAAGGGGATACATTAAATGTCTGTTTACTCAAGTCATGTGTCAGCAGGGACATTCTGGTCTTTTTATCTTTGATTTGACACCGCATGCCACGTGTCCTTTCCTCCTTGGTTGAATCTTCTGCATTCTTGTGCCTCTTAACACCATTAAGTAGAACGCTATTATGATGGCTAGCCTATGCTAGTCACCAGTTAATCACCAGCCCTTGTAGGAGTGAAAAAATTCACATTCCAGTAGATACACCTTGGCGCCGAGGGAGCATACACTCATTGGGACCGATATCATCAATCTGAGCCGAGAGATATGTGTCATCCATGCGGCCTCGGAGTCCCTCGGCCCCGGGCTAAGGATGTCAATGACACGTGTAAAAATCATAGCAGAGATTTCATCGGTGCTGAAAAAACGTGTCGTCATTTGTTCCGTTTTGAAAATATCCCATCAGATAGTCATCGTTTACTTAGTTTATGGGAACATTGAGTGTTGTAAGTATGTGAACTGCTTTTCTACAAGCCATTGTTGTTGACTTTGCAAACAACATGTTTAGTGAAGAAAAACTGTACATATGACAGGCGACGCATTTGTTGACAATTCCAATTTTCTCTGTCTGTCAATAGGTGTTTGGCATATTTGTATAATTGCGGAGAGCACTACGACTTTATCTACTTAACGTAAAATCTATATTATAATTGTTCAAGTGATTGAACTATGGCGTAATGACTACTTTTGAATTCTTTCTAGGCCGATGTGATCAAGATCTTAAATAGTTTACTTAAAGGAATGTGGCTACAGGGAAAATAGGAATAAAGTTGGGTGAGTGAGTTGAGATGAGTGGACAAGGGTTTGGGTTTGGGGATCCAAATTGAGTGATTAGCTTATATTGATTTTCTCAATTTCTTTCATAGTAGATCTGATCATCTTCCATGGATGCAGGGAACGTTTTTGGTTGAATCACATAAATGTCATGTTTTTTTTAATGTCCTTTATTTATTTTTTGTCACTTTGTTGTCTAGCTAGGTACTCAAATCAAACATACCACAACATTAAAGTTATGGTTACCTTACTAAACATTGGTATACCTTTTTTCTTAAGGTAGATTTTTGGAACCATCTTACACGATATAAAATGGACTTGCCTATAGTGGGCACGATGATGTTATAACTCACTCTTAACCAATTTTCAGGCCCTTGTGGATAATTGGGATTATGATTGATAATCAAGTTAAGTTTGTTGAGCTCGTTTTTGTAAATTAGTTTAAACTTTTTCAAACTCGATTTATTTAAAAAACGATCCGAGCTCGAGTAACTTGACTCTTCCATGTATAAATTAGTCGCGCTTTGTAAGCTCGATCTAAATTTTTTAAGCTCGTTTTTCTTAAAAAATCTATAAAATTGTTCAAACTCAACTTATTAAGAAAACGAGTCAAACTCAGGCTCCGCTCAATTATCAACCCTAATTGAGATTACCACCAAGAAAGTTGATTGATTCAATCCCTATCATCCATCAGAAAACAAATATAGTTGGCATTCTTTATGCATATTTTTTCTTTCAACAACAATATTTTTTTACTATGATATTATCCAAGCACAAAACAAAAAATACTTCAATAATACAATAAAAATAAAAGGTTGGCATATAGTAATAATATTTTAAGTATATGTTTAGTATTATTTAGGTCATTATTCTTTCAATTATATCACTTTAGTTCCACAAGTTTATAATTTGTGTAGCATTGGTCAAGATAAAATTGCGATTTAACTGAATACTTGATGTGGTAACTTTTGTCCCACGTGATTACACTTTAAAGGCCACTTTGATTCCTCATGTTTGTAATTTGTGTCTCTTTAATCATTCAAGTTGCAATTTGAGTCGTGTAGTTCCTCTAGTTGTCAAAGAATACTCTTCAAGTGTCATTATATGAAACACAAGTGACCAACTCCATTAAACAATGAAAAACACTCGAGTCCAACCTTTTTCTTGCCCAACCTCAAACCATGTCCAAACTTTTTCTTGCTTTCACTTCTATCATTTCCAGGCCTGTAACGTATGGTTTGGGCGTGGTAAATTACTAAATTTATATGTTATATGATACATATAATCTAACCACGAATTCAATAGCAAAAGAAATTTATAGAAATTGAATCTTGGTACAACGATAATACTGCAAGATCAACCCGTAAAAGATGTATCTTTGTAAGTGAAGGACAACTTATACATTTGACTTCTTCCAAACATTGACGGATGGGAGACTCATGATTTGGGTTGCCTTTTTATCGATTTATACTAATATACAGGTGAACATTTCTAGAGGACTAATGTCAAGAGTGTTTTACAAGACTTGAGAATACAAAAAGTTTTTAAACATTAACAAATCAAAAAGCAATATACGATGCAGCATAGTCATAAAAACAAGCATGGTGTCATGACGGATCAGTTTTCCTCTTCCAACCCTATCAACAAAAGCTTCGACCAAAAAAATAACTTGAAACAAAATAATGTCAACATGCTTATCATTATAATGTGTAGCCTCACACATTATCGAGGGTGCAAATCAGTGATTGAAACCTCATTCACAGACCAGTGGTCGGACTTACTCTTTGATTGACTGGATCGAGTTGCTCCTGAGTCATCCTCTCGAAGTAGTGGCATTTCTGGATTGACACTGTTTTGCACTAAAAATGCAGGTTGTGAGGGTACTGGGAGAGTGAGAGAGAAGCTACTAAACATGAGAACAACTGAAGCCATAGTTGGTCTGTCTACTGCATTTTCCTGCACACATAGCAATCCAATATGGATGCACCTCATTATTTCTTGTCCTGAACTTGAATGAGCCCTCAATTTGGGATCTATTAGATTTGAAGCCGTTCCATCTTGCCAATTTTTCCAAGCCTGCAAGAATGCAACAAGTTTAGTTGCAAGCTTTCATTGGATCACACTTTATGGGGCTACTAATCACCCTTAATTATTTGTACTTACATAGTTTATGAGATCCTCGTACTTCCCATGTTGAAAAGAGTTATTCTTCTTACCACTTATTATCTCTAGAACCAACACGCCAAAACTGAATACATCTGACTTAACTGAGAATCGACCATGCATTGCGTACTCTGGTGCCATATAGCCACTGCAATTATTAAGTTGCGGGTTTACTATTAGTATTAGAAGTTGAAGATCACCATGTTTGGGTTTGAAGGCAGGCTTCAACTTAAGCCTTTCATGTTTTTCCCTTGAGGTTCCGAGGGCTACTTAATTTGTATCTTTGCAAATAAGTGTACTCAAACAATTTCCCATTTCTATTTGTTTTAATTAAAGAATACATGGCAGTACAGGAGAATGTTGCATGGGTTAAGAATTATTCGATACTTACTAGGTCCCCGCAATTGTATTTGTACTGCCTTGAGTTTCATCAAGTACAAAAAGTCTCGCCATCCCAAAATCCGCAATTTTTGGGTTCATTTCTGCATCTAATAGGATATTACTAGCTTTGAGATCACGATGAATAATCCGAAGTTGAGAATCTTCATGAAGATAAAGAAGCCCCTTAGCAACGCCTCCTATGATTTTGTAGCGCATATCCCAATCCAAATATGCTCGTTTAATTTGATCTACAAATCCAACCAAGTATAAGGTTTAGTCAGAGTTCTAACAAACCATAATTCCTTCAGAAAACAATAAAAAAGGAACTTGGATTACCAATTTGAGCTACACCTTAACAAAAGTTTAAGATAAGGATTTTAAATGGTTACTGATGTCTTAATATCTTTTGGTTGGAACTTGTACATGCAAGTAGAAGTGTATTTCGGATTAAGGTAATAGTAATACGGACAAGAACTTTATAGAAGGGGGATAGTTAGAGATCTGGCAGATCTGGCATACCAAATAGGAAATGATCGAGACTTGCATTGGGCACAAACTCATATACGAGAAGTCTTTCTGTTCCTTCCAAACAGAAACCTAAGAGTCTAACTAAATTCCGGTGCTGAAGCTTCACTACCAATAAGACTTCATTCTTAAACTCTTCTTCACCTTGTCTTGAACCTCGGGACAGCCTCTTCACAGCTATCTGTTGTCCATTTGGAAGCCTACCCTGTAGTTATATCAGAATCGGTGTTAGATAAGTTATCCCAAGCAATGAAAGGTTTTGATTTGATACAATTGGATAAATTATCATAAGGGGGTGTACACTTTTACCTTGTAAACCGCTCCAAATCCGCCTCGTCCAAGCATGTTACTATCAGAAAAGTTATCCGTAGCGGTTCTTATTGTACCAAAGTCGTACTGTAAGGTTTCTACGATGCTAATTTCATCCACGTCTTTGCAGAAAACCAACAAATTTAGCTTCAGATATAGTGCTTAAACAAAAAAAAAAAAAGTAGCACATAGCTATAGCTAGGCATTACAATTGAACCTTCAAAGTCTCCTCGTGCCAACCAATGCTCCAATAGCTTAAGTTATTAAAAAGAGAAGAAATAACATAGTTTAACCAAGGATTAAATTTTATTTTATTTTCATTGAAACAAATCAGTAATTGAATAACAAAATTCTTGTGTTTTGAAGTGACTCAGGATACTTAAGATATTTTGGAATGTTTCAAAATTCTTTGACCAATGTTTTGGGAAATATATCCGCAACATTTTCTATGTATTGAAATAAAATTTTTATCCTTGATTGCAACATTCCCTTTGCATGTGAGGAGATCGACATTAACTCAACTATTTAGTGCTAAGTAACATCATATAAAACTGAAATTATTAAGGTCATACACCACTTTTTGGACTATAAAAAATCAATACTTCAACAAAGATGCAATAAGAACTGCATTCTTCTTTATTTCAGTAATGATAACTAATTACTTCAACAAATTAAGCCTACTGTTTAAATGGACAGTGAAAAAACAATTTGAACTTACTCTGATCAATTTCCTTCTTCGGCTTCATATGCTTCCTTTTTCTTAGAAAGATGCAAATGAAAATGAAAAGACCCACAGAGATCACAGTTGGAACCACGATAATGACAAAAATTGGAGTTGTGCCATTGTCTTTGCCTGCAAAAGAACAAAAATATGTTAAAAAAAAAAAAAGAAATTGATTTATTTATCATAATCATGTAAAGCTATTGTGATTCGTGCATGCGATGAATAATCAATAAAACAGAATAATAGAAGAAGAACACAAAAATTTACATAGTTCGGCAACTTGCCTACATCCATGATCCTAGAGCGGTTGCCTTATTTTATTTCACACTGAATTAGGGTGATAATAATTAGGAGGCACGTACTACTCCACACAAAAGGGCTATGCCCCTGCCTCCCCCGGCCTATCTTCAACTCGGTAGTAAGTCGCTCACTCTGACAATTAACCCATTATCTCCTTGGGCTTGGTGTAATTCTCCGTACTCTAAATATAAACTACCTATCCCAACAAAAGCCGACCCAAAAAATGTTGAGACAAGACTTTATTGGGTTGAATATGTAATGTTGACATGGAACAAAGAAGAGTTTGCTTGAGATTTACTTGAAAATCTATGCATGACCTGTGATTTTGAAAATTATCGAAGTCGAAGGCGGGGCAGGGGAGAGTTTATCTTTCTAGACTTTGGAGAGCAATTTCAACCGGGGATCGATTGATTTTCAAACCTTGTTTTCATAGCCACCATGGCTAGGCCATCTCTGATATCGAATTACTTGGAAAGGTAAGGAGCAAATTTTCAAATGCATTACTTGTCAATCCTTTCACTTTTTCAATCTAAAAACAAATACAGACAGAGTCATACCCGGAGGCGGCGGTGATGGTGGCAGTGGGGGTGACGACGGTGGCAGTGGAGGTGACGACGGTGATGGTGGTGGTGCATCACCTGGTGTTTTATTAAAGAAACGCCACAAATCATACCTAAAACTACAGCTAGGTCTTAGAATGCTCAATCCTATTTTTCCATTACAGCATTGTGAAATTTCTGCAGCAGCCCCTTCCAGGCAAGTGTAACACTGGTCCCGAGATAAATCCGGGGTGCATTGCGAAATCGCGTATATTGTCTCGAAGTCAGGGCCAGGTACGTTCCCGGAGTCGAACTTGCGTCGAGAATCACCTGATGCTGCTTGTGTTCGCAAGCTCTCCAACAAGGTCCTCAATGGCTGATTAAACTGAACCACGTTCGAAGCATTAGCAGTGTTGAACACATATGCACTAGGGCGAGTTTCAACAGTTTGTAATATAGAGGCATTTGAGAACCTTAACATACAAAATTCAGACCAATGCACTACCCCTCGGTAGTTTGGACAAAGTTTCATGACATTACGAGTCGAGTCATTGATACAACTACGGCATATATCCAACTCAACATCTCCTCGACAAAGCGCCATCACGTTAATTCTATTAATGTTTTCGCCAATAGAGGTATTGTAAAAGCCATATAAATCCATATTGGAGGGAAGGGAAGAGAGGAGAGTGTTCTTATTTGCCTCATATATGCTGCTAGTAGAATTGTCTCCTAGACAAAAGTGCTGTGCTGTGGTGAGGGCAAGAAAGTTGATGAGGATATGAGAGAGGAAGAAAAGCAGTTTCGAATAACCCATTTTCATTGTATTGAATAATTGAAGACTTTCAATAGCTGTAGCACATATAAGCTGGAGAAGGGCGATGAACTAAGAGCTTGAAGATAAACTTGCCTATAATTTTCTATTTCTATTTTTTTTAAGGGCAATTAAATGCTAACTGGTCAAACGTACTGATTTCTACATTTGACTCTTGACTTTGGAGGATTCAAAGATTTACACAAAGTTCTTAATTGAATGTGGAAAGTTTGGAAAGAAAACAAAAGGTTGATTGGGATGGGCGTGGTTAAATACAAGGAAAGAAAGAAAATGTTAATGCCAACTATAACATTTTTTTTTTTTTTGGGGAAACATTGATGGTACGAAAGAATTTTATTAATTAAAAAAAGAATTACACTTTTCTAAAGGGGACGCCAACTATCCTTTCTAACTAATATAGCTGAATAAGAAAACCTCTATGTTACGGCTTGTGCCACGAACTAAGTAGATTGAAATTAAGAAACGATTCCTGCACGCCAACGAAATCTATCAGTTGTGGATCTTGGAAGGAGCTGATAGAAGAAGCCATATATTTTTATAACCTTTTTTTTCAACTGAATTGTATTTTTATATAATTTAAGAATACTTCACATTTGCTTTATATATTTTTGGGAACATTAAGGTTATGGCCACCTTAATCTCATGAAGAACCTTGGACAGTTCTATTCCTTTGTACATCCCCATAGCTCTTTAAAAAACTTGCTATTTTATTTTACTTGGGGCCTGACTTACAACATTTCTTATGTTTCATTTAGTACGATGGAAAGTTGGAAGGATAAATAAAATATATATTTTGTAAAAATAAAAAATAAAAAGGATAGAAAAGTGGATGAATTAACTTTCCTTACAACTCACTAAAATCAATCTCTAAAATCGGAAGAAAATTGATGAAAAGTTAATTATTTGTTTTGAAATATTTTTTATTTGTCTATATATTTTTTAATGTATACATATATTATGTATACATTAATTATATATATAAATTCAATGATAAAATATGCATTTTATACTTTTTAAAAAAAAATTAAAATTAAAGATTTACAAAATAATAATTAAAATTAAAAATTAAAAAAAATTCATTTTACCAAATACAAAAAAAAATTAAGTATTTTTATTTTTCATCCATCCTATCAAACACAGAAAAGAAAGTGTATCAATCTTACTTTCTTTCCTTAGATGACAGAAAGTGTATCTCTTTTACTTTTCATCTCTCGTTTTTCCATCCTTCGTACCAAATAAAACATCAGTTAGACATGTAAAAAGAGTGAATACAAAATCAAGTTCAGTAGTAGATTGCAGTAATTATTGTACCCAAACTTTATGACTCCTGCCTTTTAAATTTATTCTTCGTTTATTACGATGGCAAAATGAAAGGATGAAAAGTTAAAATAATAGACAAAATATCATGTTTGGTAAGAAAGAAAAATATGATGAATGAAAAAGTGAATGGATGAACTGTCCTTTCAACTCACCAAAATTAGAAGAAAAGTGGATGAAAAGTTAATTATTAGTGTTAAAATATATCTTATTTGTCTATACATACTTTGATATATACATATATTATGTATATATTAATTTCATATATAATACAATAATAAAATATATATTTATACTTTTTTTAAAGAAATTTAAAAATAAAAATTTTTAAAATATAAAAAATAAAAATTTAAAATTATTTTTTCCATCTTACCAAGCACAAAAAAAAATTATTATTTTTATTTTTCATCCATCCTACCAATCACAAAAAAAAAAAAAATATATATATATATCATTTATACTTTTTTTTTATCCCTCTTATTTTTTATCTCTCGCATCTTCCATTCTTCCTATCAAATGGACCATTAAACTTGACTAAAGAAAAAATTTAAGTAAAGTTGAATATTGTGTTGTCTCCGTCTCTGAGCCAATCAACGTGTCCCTCTCACCTTGGCCAAGTCAACAGGAATGCCCTAAAATCAAATCTGATGATTAACTAGTGACCCCAACGCGAAAAAGGTGGAAAAAAATGAACATAGAAATAAAGTGCCATTACTCCCAACGCGGTACGTACTATGTAGGTCTTTATATCATCTCACACGGCATAAAGTCAACATGGTCATGCATTTACTAGGGCATTTTGCACCATGAAAAATCTAATTTAACTAAAAATTCAGTTTTTAGTCAAATGATAATTTACACCATGAAAAAACTAACATTTCTAGATTACATAATGAATCGGATAAAAGAGTAGTAATGTGATCCAAAACTACATGTCTATTGCTTTGTTCGATATTAATTTTCTTGTATTTTTTTTTATTTTTGTAGTCAATTATTAGTAAATTACTCAATTTTAAACATTTATATAAAAAATTTTAACTTAATTTTATAAAAATAAACCACATTTTTGGCATTTTATTTGATTGAAAGTGGATATAAATTGACAATTAAAATTCTTTTAAGCCCCATTTAGATAACAATAATTTGGGTTCAAGTATCTAATTCTAGTAAAGGAATACCCAAGTTTCAAATATCAATGTAATCTATTATTTACTACTAGTTAATAACAAAAAAATAGTAAATTTTTTTCCAGAAATGTGTAAGCCCAATTTTTTTTTAAAAAAAAAAATCAACAACATTTTTTCTTAAAAGCATGATCCCAAAAACCACTAACCTTTGTACACAATTTATATACTTGAGAAAAAAAAATTTAAAATTAAGGTTGAACCCCCAACAAATGGGTAATTTTTTTGCCATAAAAGTTGAACCCTCACTCAAGAATAACAA